ATATAAAGAGAAAAATCCGCATTTTACTATGTTTAATTAGTAAATTTTGACGTCGTTGCATTATTTCTGATTGCCACCGTATATATTAATCTTATTGAATAAGTAATTAAAATTTTTATATAAAAATTTAGTAATTATTAATAAAAAAATATATTATGTAGTAATACTTGAAGAATTTTCTATTTTCAAAAAATTTTTGGCACAAAACAAATAAGTTTTTGTATATCCACCAGTACATAAGCATTAATATTTAATTTATCTTAAGATGCATAATATTATCAATTCAAGTAATATTCTGTATCTTAACAAACTTAGTGAAATTCTTGGTTTCAAATGGTTTTTTATGCCAAAGATTATATTCAATATTGGCCAGGATTTTTTCGTGATGAATTAGAAATGGATGAAAAACATGCAACTTTAATTATTATTGATGCATCTTTAAAAAATAATCATGATCATGATATAATTGCAATTTATATTTGAATTTCTTTCAACAAGAAAAAAACCTTTATTTTCTTTTGTGGAAAATCATCTTGAACAATTATCAGTATACGTATATTGAAAACAATTGACATGTTCAACATTTTGGATCAGAATTAGTTTTCAATATATTATTCAATTTTCCATAATGCATCTCAAATAGCCTATGAAAAATTTGCAATTCATATTCATCCAACACATTCTCTTTTTCGAGCTTGTCGAGTTTTTGATTCTAAATATATTCAAATTGGAGATATATCAAGAAAAGATATTTGTCATTATTCAACTATTAAAGAACTTAAAAATCCATCAGATGAATTACTTCGGGAATGGTCAATTTATTGCAGATCCATATTGGATGAATTTAAGTGCGTAGTGTTGAAAGAAGCTTTTCATTATATAATACTCTTTTGGATAAAGACCGGCAAAATTTGTTTAACGATTCTTCAAAAGCGTTCGTTTTTTTAGTACATGTATTACGTTACAATTTTTTAAGCAAATTCATTAAGTTCATATATTATTAATTTTCTAATAAATCACATTAAAAAGAAGCTTAAAGTGGATCACAGAAACTATATACACTCGATGGACAAAAGTTTGCAATCAGGGATCAATTTTATTAATAAAACATAGTAAAAATTGAAATTTTCTCTTTATATTAAGTTTATAATTTTATTAAATAATTTTTGTTTTTATATTAATTAAAATAAAGTTCATAAGTTATAGTTTAACATATATTTTTTTCCGATTTTTTCTGGAGAAGTTGTTCTAATGACAAAGTCATTGCAAAAATTTTTTCTAATTAAATTATAAACTTAATATAAAAAGAAAATTTCAATTTTTACTATGTTTTATTAATAAATTGATCCCTGATTGCAAACTTTTGTCCATCGAGTGTATCATCACACAGAATTTATCTTACAGCACCGCAGAAAATCATCGTCCCTGTTTCCGGATCGTATGTATGCGCATATTTACCCGAATTAAAAAGATTTATACATGTACATGTACAACAAAGGTTGCTAACATGAATGACCAACATACGTATTTACTTTCATGTCCAATTGCACAATGGGTTTAACGCAGTTCCGGTTTTTTACGCCAACCCAATAATATTTGGAATACGAGCAAATTAGTCGAGTAAGATTTTGTACCGCGCTTACGCTTACTTGCCTTGTGTGTGTGAACGACATTAATCATGTAAAACGCACATAAATACGTTCGTTTAAGGAAATATTGATCAGATGAAAAGCCAAATACAGTATCGTCAACCCATGCAAAGAAGATTCCTTAAAGAATAAGAAATTTACTTGCTACATCTTGCAATACCTCACAAGTTATGATCAGAGGTGAAATAGAAAAAGCAAAAATCTTAGAGTTCTTTGATGACAAATAGAAGTCATTAACACATCGGTACTGTACCATATATTGTTTGTATCATTATTTATATAAAGGCTTGACGAATGTTTCTCATTTTCTTTACCCTTTTCCATACATAACGAAATTCACAATTCTTTTATTCAAGACCCACCCGTTAAAACAACTATCAACTGAAGAATAGCCGTTATGATGTTCAATAAACAAACTCTTCTCTTGCTTGTAATTCTCGGTTTCCAAATGTCATCAGTTTCCGCGCACTTTAAATTTTTGAAACCACCACCCAGAGGTGCCGTGAACCTAACCATTGAGCCATGCGCTGGAGTCAACGAAGTCAATACAACCTCTAAATCGGATTTCCCTATTCGTAAGCATTTCATAATACCGCATTTTACCGTGCAAAATACCCCCCGGGTATCATTCTAAGAGGTATAACATGACGTGGGATATCTTACACGGTAAAATACGGTAATAATAATAATAATTTCAGGTGATTCACGCTGTAACTGTTTTTATAATAATTCAATAGAGGGGGGCCAAGCCACCGTTAGTTTTGGCGACGGTAATGGCAAGCTTAATTACTTTTTCGCTAAAACATCTAATGATACATTTATGCCAGTATCTGGTAAGTGACATCGTCATTCAATCAATTAGCTTTTCTTCAATCAATAACGTGGTGGTCATTAATTTATTCTCTTAAAGATTCTCCTGTCATCGTCGAAATGAAGGATGATGAAAAAGTAAGATTCAATGCCACCACCACTCTCGACCTCAGTAAAGCTAACGCGTCTATTGGGCAAGATGGTGT